CGGGTCGTGACCTGCTGAACTCTCATCACACGTGATTGACTTGGACGTGATAATTGCTCGGCAATCTGTTTCACTGGCGCTGGCGTTAGACGACGGGTTGGCCCGTGTGCTACCCAAGTGGCGAATTGCTTTGGTCAAACTGAGCATCGGCACCGGAAATGGAAATGGAATGGGCAGGTTGTTGCACTTGTTTATAGACTAGAGGCCCGTGAACTATGGCTTCAGTAACTCGGGGCTCACCTTTGTCGCCTATCGCAAGACCTTCGGTCTCATCAAATTTAAATTGCGTGGCCGGGTCTCATCGAATGAGTTATAACTTGGGGATTGATGTCATTTCTCCGTACTGCTGCCGCCTGTTCGGAAAGTTGCGTCTAGAGAAGTCTTCTAGCTTCTCCGACGTAGTTGCTTTGTCCGCAATTGCACCAGATTCTATAGACGACTCCAGATGGTTCTTGTCATGGGATCAATCTGTTGGTTTCATTATCAGACGCTTTATGTTTGCCTCTGGCCTGTGTGCGGCTCCAACTCCAAGCGGTGTGAGAAGACGGCTGATTGGGGAGCCGTTAATTGTCATAAGTACAGTGTGAAGTAGCACAGCGATTGTGTCCTATAAATACTGCAACTGTCTATGCATGAGTTATCATTTTCTGCTTTTCTCTGTGAAGATGGATCCTCGACGGATTTCGAAATGCCAGGCAAATAAATCTCGTCCCAGCGATCTTATCTGCTTCTTCTCAGATGACATAACTTGCGCCTTTCGATAAAAACGATGACTACGAGTATGATAACTGAAAACGTTGTGAAACCACGCAGCGCGGACAACGCGGGAAATGCGCTGGAACACTACAGGGACACGAAAAAATGGTTATTGGTTAGCGGACCCAGTGCCACGTGTACAGGGTGTGGTTGCAAGCTTAGGCGCAGGCTCGCGCAACGCCAGTTACTTGCTCCGACAGCGAACGTGAGCTTAGAATAGGAAAGAGAGGGAAGCAGACTGCGGCCCCATGACACTCAGCACATAGTCCTTCCTATAAACAATCTGAGGAGCCTTTTGCCTACTGCGGCGGACGGCCATTAATGCTGCCAAGCTTCCTCGTCCAATGCCCACCACCTCAAAGTAAGGCAAATTCGCAGGCAGTTGTCTCCGATTCGCTGATCTCAAGACCCTATTCCGACTTCCCCGCGCGCGCACACACGCAAGTCCACATAGTGGCGGCTGTCCCAGGACCACTTGAACACATCCCCCCCTCGGCCGATGCAGTAGAGGCCACGACACTCCCTTGGACAATCCAACAATGGCACACTACCTGAACTTTTTATAACGACGGGTTTAGCGTCGCTAGTGTTATTACGATGACATCTGACGTGTGTCACCGTTGAATTACGCCCCGTTGAAATCCCCGAGGAAGAACTCAATAAGAAGAGCATAATTCTGGAATCCACCCGAAGGAGGGTTTATTGTGTACAAAATCCGGATGAGCTGTCTCGGGTGGCTGTTG